TAGGAATTCACAGGATCTTTCTAAGCAGGAGGAAGTTGGGGCTCAAGCTAGCATATGGAATGAGAGGGAGATTGGAGGTGAAAAGACTTTTTTCTTTTTTTGATAATACTAGTACATACCTAAAATTCACACCTACTGGAAAGCTACACTGTGACTAAGCCTCCTCATTCCTGCCCTCCACTTCTGCCCTTGGACACAACCATTCTAGCCAGTGTTTTAGACATTCTCCTAGGGACAGTGCAGCACACATGGGTACATGTAGATACCACTTTCTTGGTATCATTATGCACACTTGTTTCTTACATTTAACAACATGAATCAAATAGGGTTACACAGCAATCCAGGAAGAACTGCCTTGATTTTTTAAAGTTTTTCTTGTGAATTGGGTGAAAGTTTACAGAACAGCTCATTGTCTATGTTAAATACATATTCTGATTCTACTCGTCCATTCCAATCCCTTCGATCCACCGATTAGCCCCCTTCCTCCGTGTTTCTTGTTTCCATTAGGTTTTCTTTCCTGACCATTTACCTCAATGGTAAATGCTATCATTTTTTAAAATCTTAAAATTATTGATTAACCTTAAAAATTTTTTTTATTGTGAATTAGGTAGGGTTTTACCCTTCAGATCATCATTTTTGTATTCAACAACTTAAACTACTTGTCAAACCACCCCATCACTTTCTCTGCCCCCTGTGGTGTGTCTACGATGGAAAATGATCTTCCCTGTCACCCCAGTTAGTGCTGGTCTACCCCCTCCTCACCCAATGCTTCACCTTCTCCCTCTTATGCTCTGCACAGCAAAGTCTGAATCTTTTATGAGAACCTTTGTCTGTTTTCATTGTAACAGTGATTTCATACAATATTTGTCCTTTTGTGACTAACTTCACATTAATCGAGGTCCATCCATGTCATGAGGTGCTGGACAGTTGCCTGGATATCATGTCTTTTACTCATTTTTAAATTAGATTATTCCTCGATGGATTGTGAGGTGTTGCAGGTTTCTATAGATTTTAGACATCAGTCCCTTGTCTGATATATGGATGCCATTCCCCTCCTGCCCCTAGTGTGTGGGGTTTTTTTTTTTTTTTACTCTTTTGATGATTTCTTGATACATGTGCATTATTTTTATAAAGTTCCTGTCATTCACTTTGTCTTCTGCTGGGTGTGTGTTTTTCATTATGTTCGGTGGTGTGCTTATGCCCTGTGTTAGGGTCCTTAAGCTTGTCACTATTTTCTCATTGATGAGTTTTGTAGTTCTAGGATTTACGCTTAAGCCTTTAATCCATCTTGAGTTCCTTTATGTATATGGGGTAAAGTATGGGTCCTGTTTCACTCTCCTGCTAATGGAAATTCAATTTTGCCAGCACCATTTGTTGAAGACTCTCTCTCTTTCCCAGGTTATGTATTTTGGCCCTTTGTTGAGGATTAGTTGTCTGTAGGTGGATGGATTTATTTCTGGGTTCTCTACTCTAATCCATTGGTCTGTGTCTCTATCATTGTGCCAGTACTAGGCAATGATGACCACGGTGTCTGTGTAAAAGAGCTGCCTGGTTTTTTTTATGTGCAGCCGCCAGCTGTTTGTCAGTGGAGGATTGTGTGTTACTGTGAGGCTGAACAGACGTCAGTTGACTTCCAGTGTAAGGCAGATTAGAAAGAAAGCCCTCATGATCTACTTGCAAAAATCAAACAGTGAGAACCTAGTAGGTCACAATGATCTGATTTGCAACTTGTTTGGGTACGGTGCAGCAGTAGGCAGTATTTTGTACTACTGCATGTGGGGATGCCCTGAATAAGGGATGGACTGAATGCAGCTAAGAAGAGCAGAACACACCTACAAACCCACACCACACTAACCCACTGCTGTCGGGTTAATCCTCACTCACAGCAATCCTGTTGCTATTGTTAGGTGCCACCAAGTCAATTTCCATTCATAGCAACCCTACAGCAGAAGAAAACACTGCCTGGTACTGCCCCCTTCTCACAATCATTGTTTTAAGGCCATTGTTTCAGCCACCATGTTAACCCATCTTTCATCGAGAGTCTTCCTCTTTTTCACTTATCATCTACTTTACCTAGCACAATGTCCTTCTCCAAGGACCAGTCCTTCCTGATAAGATGTCCAAAGTACGTGAGATAAAGCCTTGTCATCCCCTTGCTTCAAAGTGTCATGCTAGCAGTATTTCTCCCCAAACAAATTGTTCTTTCTTCTGCAAGACCATGGCATATTTAATATTCTTTGCCAATATCATAACTCAAATGCATCAATTCTTCTGTGGTTTTCTTCATTTATTGTCCAGGTTTCTGTATATATGAAATGATTGAAAATACCACGACTTGGGTCAGGGACACCTTGATCTTCAAAGTGACATCTTTGCTTTGTAACACTTTAAAGATCTTTTGCAGACGATTTACCCAATGCAATATATCATCTGATTTCTTGACTGTTGCTTCCATGAGCGTTGGTTGCAGATCCAAAGTGAAATCACTGACTTGTCTTTTATTATGATGTTGCTTATTGGTCCCGTTGTGAGGATTTGTTTTCCTCGCTTTGAGGATTAAGTAATTCATACTAGGGACTGTAGTCTTTGATTTCCTTCAGTTAAGTATGTTAAGTCCTCTTCACTTTCAGCATGCAAGGTTGTATCATCTACATGTTGGAGGGAGTTACTGAACTTAATCCGATCCTGATACTTCATTCTTCAAGCTTATTTAGCAAGTTCTTTCTTCATGGATATCTGTAGATTGTTTTCAGTCTCTTTCTGCAGCAGAAAATGTGGGAATATTTCTATAAAGGGCCCAGAATTACTAAATCTATGGGCAGATTCCATTTTGATAGATATAGCCATATTGCTCTTTATAGAGGCTTCCACTTTACCCACAAAGTATGAGGGGTCTTCAAAAAGTTTGTGGGAAAACAGAATAAAAAGGTAACGGATTTGCCAATTAAACTATTGTTTTAATCCATGTTTCATAACCATTTCAGAAATGCTTCTCGATTCAGTATGCCTTTTAGTAATGAAAATAACTGGTATCAACAAAAATTTCATTACAGAAAGTAATTGGATCATGAACCACATTGTATTTTAAGAAGTAAAAACTCTAGCCAAAAGAAACAAAACACGATCATGGGATTTTCCCACAGATTTTTTTGAAACCCCCGTGTATAATAATGTCCATTCCCCGATATTCCAGCTCTTTGATCGAGCCAATTAACAGGTGAAAAATCGTATTTGAGTGTGGCTTTAATTGATCTTTATCTTACACTGAGTAAGGTGGGGCATTTTTTTCTGTGTTTAAGTAGTACTTTTGTTTCCTGTGGGAGGAATACCAGACCCACACAACTAATCATGGGTTCAGTAAGTACTATTATACGGTTGAGATATATAAAGATTAGTAAAGTCAGAGAGAGCATGAGAGATAGAAGAGAGTGTCAAATAAATAAGTCAGGCGCATTTCATGGTAGCACGCTCACCTCCTGGATGGCCATAATCTTTCCAGGCAGGTCTCCGCACAGCATGGGCCGAGGTGAGGTGGGGCAGAGACCCGGCCGGCTGGAGCCCCCGTTTATTGCTAACCAAAGGCTGTATCTACTGAGGGGGGGTGTGATTACAGGTAACCACACGTCACAGGAAGGGGCAGTACAATCGGCATACAAGCAATAGGAGAGGGATATACAATGGCCATATGTGTAACAGGAAGAGGATGAGCTAGGGGTGTACACATGATAGGAAGGGGAGGGACTAGGGGTATACATGTGACAAGAAGGGCAGACCCTAGATTCCTGATGGCGGCCTAACCAGGTTACCCTTAGGTGGGCTTGACCTCTCTGGGGTCTCCTACAAGGAAACAGTCAACTACTATCCTTATCAGAAGGGAGAGGGTCCTACTTCTTGTGGGATAAACAGTGGTGTCTGCTTGCTCTAGATGGCTGATAACCCTGAGGGAGAATAACCCCTGACCTACTTCTGTTGACCTCCATGTGTATAGTCATTGGCCACGTGTAGCAAGCAGCTAAGGTTGGCATATATTTGGGGGAGACAACTTGGGAGAAATCTGTTTCCCAGTTTCCTGTTCTGTGACTAACCCGTCCCGTATTCTTTGGGTGCTTTTCTATGTGACGTTTGGGCCTTTTACTCATTGGTTTGTGGTAGTTTTTCCCTACAGTATGCAGGACACATATTTAGAAAGTTTGTTTTTGGTTTATTTAAATAAAATCACCCAAGGGATATACGCATATAAACCCAAAGAGTGGCTCAGTTGGTCTTTGCAGCCCGGGCAGGGTTTCTTCTAGAGCCTGAATCTACCTGGCAAACATGAAGGACCCATCGCCGTCTTGCAGGTTGACTCAGGGGACCCCATGTGTGTCAAGGGTGGAAACTGTGCTCCACAGGGTTTCCTAGGGCCTTTTCGGTAGCATCTCTCCAGGCCTTTCTTTGGCGCCGCTTCCGGGTAGACTAGGACCTCTTACTTTGGGGTTTGCGGCCGGTTTACACCCCTTAGGGGTGCCACACAGGGGACACCCCCCAGAGGGGTCCTGAGACTTGCACTCGGGCATGGGCATCTAAGTGAGAGGTGGGTGGGATAAGTGTGTCCGAGTGGGGGTGGACCCGGCTGTCAGTGCCCGGGGCCCTGGGTTCTCGGGAGGTCCCCGGCCCTGGGGAGCTTTGCTGGGATCGGGTTTGGGGAAGCTCATGCTGCTCTGCCTCCATGCTGTGTCCTCAGCTCCTGTGCTCGTCGGTCCAGAAGGCCCTGTTCGAGGAGGAGGACCACGTCAAGAAGCTGCAGCAGAAGGTGGCCACCCTGGAGAAGCGGAACCGGCAGCTCCGCGAGAGGGTGAAGAAGGTCAAGCGGTCCCTGCGGCAGGCGCGGAAGACCAGCCGCCACCTGGAGCTGGCGAACCAGAAGCTCAGCGAGAAGCTGGCGGCGCCCGCGGGCCCCCTCCCACACATCAACGCCCCGAAGCCGCAGGGTGGCCGCCGCCCGGCCGGCTACCTCCGCGGATAGGACGAGGCCAGCGCCGACAGACGGCGAGCAGACGATGACGGGTGTTTGACAGGCGTACACGTCAATCCTTTGCATGTGGTAGAATCGAACTGGTCAAAATGGCGACCACGTTGGATGCTAGCTTTCCTGCCGTTAGCATCAGACCCCCATGGCTGCCCCGCTCAGGGTCGGGATTCTGGAGGCAGGTGGTTCCCAGAGTGCCCTGCGCTTGTCAGTCAGCCTAGCTTCCGGTCTCAGCTCAACTTCCGGCCTCAACTCAACTTCCGGTCTTAGCTTAACTTCCGGCCCCTGCTTAACTTCCGGTTTCAGCTTCGCATCTGGCCACAACCCTGTGATTTAGGGCTTAGGGAAGTGCGATGACGAGGGAAAGAACATTTTAGACTGTCTAGATGTGCAGGAGAGACGGGGGCTTAGGGATTGTTTCAGCAAGATCAGTGATTTCCAAGCAATAAGCTTCAGAACAATCTTGACAGGCAGTCTGAAGCAAGTGAAAGAACCTTCTGGAATGTCCTTTTCCACACCATTTCAAGGGGACTGGTGGCATTGGACAGCACCCACGAATGCCTACGAAAAAAAGATGTGCGAGGCTGCCAACATTCCCTCGTAGCTGAAGCACATTAAGGCGTAGTGAGCTCATCACAGAGAAGGGACGTGAGCTGGGCGTCGAGCAGCGGGTAATTAAACAAAATGGATTATACCTGATTCCCAGCTCCAGCCCCCCAGAGTTGAAGACATTACCTACGGGTCACTTGATTCTAGAGGGGAATTGCCTTGATGGACCTGTTATGTTTCATCAGTCATTGGAGAGCCTGCTAAATTTAGCTCCTGCTAAATTCTGACACATTTGTTTCCTCAATAATTTCTTTGATCACCTTTGAATTGGAAGTGAACCGACCCAATACACTGTGAGCTTCCCTTCTACAAACACTCTTCTTACACATTAGGGTTGAGTGACCTCTCATATACCCACCCAGAACCCCGGCATCTTGGTCCAGACAGTCCCTCTCTTCGTTTTTATGTAAACAACATTCCATTCACTCAGGCCCTGACACCAGTAATTGCACATCTATCCATGCGCCCTTAGTCCAATTTCTATATATAATTATAACACTTCACCCTCCTTGGAAGCTTTTCAAAGATTTTTTTTTAATCAGTTCTTTGGAGTTGATTCTGACCCATCACAACCCCGATGTACTGAGTGGAACCACGCTCTTTGGGTTTTCATGGTTGTGACTGTTTGGAAGCATCTTGCCAGGCCTTTCTTCCAAGGTGCCTCTGGGTGGATTAAAAGTGCCAGCATTTTGGTTAGTAACCATGCACTTAGCTGTTTGTACCACCCATGAACCTTAAAAAGCAACACAGCCAATGAAGAAGAGACCATTGACTATCTCCATCGCCACCCAGGAACTTACACACATGCAACCGAGTCCCAAGTGTCTATTAAGAAGTCAGCTATGTGGCTGTCGGTAGTCATCTTCTGATGTTGACCTCCCAAAGCAAGTTCTGTTCCAGTATTAGAAACTGCTTCCCCTTCATCAGGCCTGGAACCCTTCAATGGCCTGAGGAGGTACTTCTGGGCCCTGGCTACTGCCCTCTGCATCCGGAAGGACAATTGCTGCCAGGCTTTCATTCTTCTTTGAGGGAAACCTGTCCTTTGTGCTGATAGTCTAGGGACATGACCCATATGTTCACTTGAGTCTGGTGGCTATGGGGCTACCATTAAGAACCTGGGAAGAAATCTTTGCCCTGGGTTGGATAGAATTGGTGGTGGTGATGGGGGCTCTTGCTCAAGAGTACTTGCATTTCCAAGCTTCACTAGATGTATTCTTCACAGCGGGGTGCAATAGAAGGTGCATCCTCCAGTTTGCTCCTCCTGGTTGCTTCGACAGAGGGAATGAAGCCTGGGGGTGATTTTCAGCAAGTGCTTGAGGGACTTGGGAAGCTGGGTCCCCACAGATGCCTTTTTTTGTTTTTAATTCTGTGTTTTCAATAAATAAGAGCAGTGATTTCAAGCACAGCAACCACGCCATGTGTGTTTCTTTCAGGTCAGGGAGGTTTCAGGATTTCCAGCTTTTGCCTGGAAAAGCGATTGGAAATCCTTTGAGGGGGAGGACTGAACATTCAGGAGACTTAGTTCAAGCTCTCCTGCTGTCCCCGTCTGGCTGTGACCTAACCCCGACTCTCCCCAGGTACCCATCTCTCCACACACCTGCAAAAGAGCTGATATCCTGACCTGCTGCTCACAAGGGACAGCAGATTCATTAATCAGTGTCTTCAAAACTACACCGAAAGCCCAAAGGCCCCCCACCCCTACCAGCAGCCTTTTGAAGCTCTGACCCCTGCCGCAGCCTGCCTCAGGTCCTCAACCGTTTCTACACACACACGCACACACACCTGACTCATAGGACAGAGAAGAACTGCCCTATAGGGCTCCCAAGGCCTGTAACCCTTACAGGAACACACTGTCTCCTGCAGAGTTGCCATCTGCTGTGTTTCCATAACATCCCAACTTGGCCACCTGTTAACTGCACTGGTAGGGATTTTCCATGCATCTGACTCCAAGAGTTACTCAGGCCGTGAGCAACTTGCAACAACCTGTTCTAGAATCATCCCTGAGATGCTGGCCATTGTTTTCTTTCACTTCACTGTACCAGGGGGCAGGAGCAAATGACTTTGCCAAAGTCACATAGGGAATTAGAAGTAGGTACCATGTAGAACCTTTAAACTACAGTCCCTGGGTGTCACAAACTGGCAGCACAGGTATCACACCTAGTACATGAGATGAGATTTCTGTGCCCTCCACAGTGTGAATGTGAATACCCATCGGAGGACATCCATCAGGGCCACAGTCTGTAATGACTGCTATTGTTTTTACCCCAGGTTGACTTTATGGTTTCTATTTGGCAGCAGTGGTTAACACAGACCCTTGCTTCTGAGGGGCAAGAACTGGTCTTCCTTGAAGGAAAGAATACAAACTCAAGTCACAATTATCCAGTAGTATTAAATGTTGGCTCCGCAGTCATTCACATTCTATGGTGGTTTCACAGTAATCATAGATTTATAGATAGACAGACAGATCTAACACCCCACAGCTATTCATAACAATATGATAGTTATCTCTCTTATCCAAGAGTAATCTGAAACTTAAAGAGATTGAGTCATTTGCCCAAAGTACACAACTAGTACTAAGATTCAACTCCAATGTTCATTTCTCTCCCTGTTTACTCATCTGTACAGCAGGGCAATGATCATTCTTATCAGAAAGACTGTTATGAGGATTGATTGAGATTATACTTTTAAGTGCTTAGCACAATGACTGGCATTCTGTAGGCCTCTAATAGATGTTACCTAAAATAATTTTTTATATTATTAATAGTCACTAGAAGGCCAGAAATAAGAGGATATTTGGTGGAATTCGACATCATTTTCTTGAAAATCTCAATGATAAAAACCATCTTTTCCATTCACTAGAGAACTTTTCTAGGTCTTATCATTTCTCTTATTCCTGAGTCATTTCCTTTCACACTCAGTAGCTAATTATTTCTTCACATTTGCCAAGACAATATACGCCATCAAAAATGGTTCCGCAGCTTCCTCTCTCCCACTCACAGTCTTGTTTTGCCCGCCCTTTTCTTCATCCTCCCAGCTGCCCTTTCTAGGACCAAATCCTTTCTTTGTCTTCTGGAGTTCATATTGCACTTGTCCATAACCTCACTCCACCAACATGCCTCTCTCCTACCATGCATTCTCTTCTTTGGGGACTCCTCTGGGCATTCTCAGATCTATGCCTCCCAGGAAAGAAGCCCCAAACACACCACACCTACTAACAGTTATCCTTAGCTACCGATTCCCCCAAAGCTATTAGGTTAGCTCTGTCCTTTAATCTACAGTCAAAATACTTAAGGGGTAATCTGTTAGTACTGACTGCCAGTTTCAAGATTTCAAAGTTGAGGCTATGAGTCAAGCAACCTTTCAAGGTTGCTGCCTTAGTCCATTGGGATCTGGTATCCACCTGCTCTGCAAAGGATACGATTGCCAAATCCATTTTCACCCCACTTTTATAAAACTTTCATTTTTCAGTACTTAATGCTATTCACCATTATAACTTTCTCTCTGAGCACTGTTTTTGCTGCATCCCTTAAATTCTGGTGTGTTGTGATTGTCTTCCCATTTGTTTCAAATCTCCAATGCTCAGCCATGGTGTTTAAGGATGAAAGACTGGTCACTTTCCACCTAATATAAAAACAAGACAAAGATGTCCTCTCTTCCTCCTACATTGTACTGGAAGTTCTAACCAGAGAAATTTGACATGAAAAAAAAAAAAAAGGCATCTAGATGTGAGCCAAACCCAACCCACTGACATCAAGGCAATGCTGACTCATAGCAACCCAATAGGACAGAGCAAAATTGCTCCTTGGGGTTTTTGAGATTGTAAATCTTTACAAGAGTAGCCAGCTTCATATTTCTCCTGCCTAGATGCTAAAAATAAGGTAGTAAAACGGTCTCTAGTCACAGATGACATCATTTTATATACAGAAATCTCTTTTTAAAGCTACTACAAATAATAAATGAGTTCATTGAAGTTATAGGATTAAAAACAAAAGTACTAAATATACAAATGTGCTTCTATAACAATGAACAACATAAACATTAAATTAAGATATAATTCCATCTACAATAATATCAAACAGAATGCCATGCTTAGCCATAAAGTTAATCACCGTGTTAGGAATAAATTTAATCAGCGTATAAAACCTGCACACTTGAAACTATTGAACATGACTGAAAAATTAATGAAGACTTGGTAAATAGAACTATGGTTCATGTTTATGCACTGGAAACAATGTTGTTTAGATGCCAAGATGCTCCAAATTGATACATAGGTTCAGTCTAATTCTGACCAAACCCCCAACTGACTTTTTACATGGGTGGCAAACTAATCCTAAAATTCATATAGAAATACAAACCTACTGCCATCAGATCAATTCTGACTGTTTTGGATCCTACATAGGGGTTCTGAAGCTGTAAATCTTTATGGCAGCAGACAGCCTTGTCTTTACCCCCAGGAGAGATTAGTGAGTTTGAACCACCAACCTTGCAGTTAGCACTAATAAAATTAGAATATTCACACTTCCAAATTTCATACCTTAATATAAGATAAAGTAACCGAAATAGTCTGATATTAGCATAAAGATAGGTTCATACTGATTGAACTATTGAAGTATATGATATGTGAATTATATGCCAGTAAGGTCGTTGGAAAGAATAAAAATATAGGTATACAGAGCAATTGAATAGAATTGAGTGTCCCTAAATACGTAAACCCATACACTTATGGTTCATTGAGATGCAACCCAAATGCCAAGGCCATTCGGTGCTATGAAAACTGGATATCCACGTGCAAAAGAATGAATTTGAACCCTTGGCTTCACCTTGTTAGGGGTCATTGAGTTGGTTCCAGCTCACAGGGATTCTCTGTGCCACAGAACAGAACACTGTAGGTCCCGTGCCATCGTCACAAGCCTTATGTTTGAGGTTGTTGTTGCGGCCACTGTGTAAGCCCATGTTGGGGAGGGTTTTCCTCGTTTATCATGGACCCTCTCCTTTACCAATATGCCCTTCTCCAGCGATTGGTTCCTCCTGATAACATGTCCAAAGTCCATGAGATGAAGTCTTGCCATCTTCCTTTCTAAGGAGTGCTCAGGCTGTGCTCCTTCCAAGAGAGTTTGTGCCATTCCTCAGGAAGCCCATGGTATAGAGAGCACCTTCTTTAACACCTTAATTCGAAAGCATCACTTCTTCTTCGATCTTTTTTGTTAATGGCCCAGCTTTCACATGCATATGAAGTGATTGAGAATCCCATGGCTAGGGGCAGGTATGTCTTAATCCCCAAAGTTACCTCTTTGCTTTTAAACGCTTTAAAAATGCCCTTTTCAATAGATGACCTCAATGCAATATTTCATTTGTTGCTTTGACTGCAGCTTCCATGGGCTGCGACTATAGATGCAAATGAAATGAAATCCTTGACAATTTCAATATTTTCTTCATTTTCATGAGAAATTTCCCTTTGTTCTTTTCAGAAAACTGCCCCTGGTGAGTGTACAGTATTTGCATGAACACAATTGTTATGAAACTGCCATTCTTTGAAATTCTATGCATAATCTGTTCTGATCCACACAGTCAAATGCCTTTGTTTGGTCAATAAAACACAGGTGACTATCCTTCGGGTATTTTCTGCTTTCAGCCAAGTTGGATTAAAATAGATTAAAATGGATTAAAGATATAATGTAAGGACTAAAAATAGAAAACTCTTGAATGAAATATGATGTGAATATTCATGAGTTTTGCCTTAGGCAACAGTTTCTTAAATATGGCACCCCAAGCAAAAATGCCAAAAGAAACGAAATAGACAAATTGGTCTTCATGAAGGTTACCATGTTTTACTCCTCAAAGGACAGTGTAAAGCGAGTGAGAATGAACGAACATGTTTACAAATCATGTTGGACCAGAGCAAATAGCAACAATCTATTTTTTAAATTCTTACAACTCAGCAATAAAAAATAAACAAGCCAACTGAAAGATAAGCAGACTATTTGAATAGATGTTTCTTCAAAGGAGATAGATATGCCATCAATAAGCACAGGAAAGATACTCAACATCATTAGTCATTAGAGTCCATGGACTCCAGGAAAATGCAATCTGACTATGGTTGCACAGTGAGATACCATATCACACTTACTAGGATGCACATAATTTTTTAAATGGAAAATGACAAGTTGTTTTGTTGTCGCTAGATGCCATTGAGTCTAGTGACCCAATGTACAACCCTTCAAAAGGTTAACTATAGAGTTAACAAAGGTCCCAGAAATTCTATTTCTATAATGCACACCCACAAGAGGACAAGGGTTCAAAGGAAGATGTGTACTCAGAACTTCACAGAGGCACTATTCACAGTAGTCAAAAGGTGGATGCCACCCAAGTATCCACAAATGATGAATGTATAAATAAAATGTGGGATAGCCTTACAATGGAATATTATGCACCCTTAAAAATGAATCAGCTGGTGGTTTCAAACTGCCGAACTTGCAGGTAGCAG